GCATATGGAGACGGCAGCCTGGAAAATAATGGGTAATGGAAGAATTTAGCCTCAGGCTATATGCCTGCTTTGCCTACTTCTGTATAACTAGTATATTTATAATTCAAATACATACCTTTAATAATTAACCACTAGTGAATATTAAAGGAGAATGTGGGATATCTTTTCTGCAGAAGGAGTCAGGTAAAAACAGTATTAAATTTCAAATTTGACAACTGTGCAGAACAAAGGACGAGAAAATGAAAACTGAAATGTTATCTGACATTTTTGGGCCAATTTTACTTTAAGTAAACAAACAAAAAACAGTCATGTAAGAGTTGGATATATTTTTTTTTGTATTTGACAGTGAACTTGTGTTTCATTAAAGATAAAAATAATTAATACCACCAAATATGGCTCAAAATAAAGACACATCTTAGTAAATAAGAATTTTATTGAAATATGTATTTATCTCAGTAATTCAGTTCAAAACGTGATACATTCAAAGTGTTGATTTTTGTTGCTTTATAGGCGTACAACTTACAAAAACTAAAGTATTACATAAGGTCGATAAAAATGGATTTTTAATACAGGACTGTTATGTTAGGACTTACACAATCATGTTGAAAGTTTTTGCCTTGACAGTTCTCCAGCAGACAGTCTCTGACAAAGACAAAAGACTTTCTGTTCCTGGAGTGGTTTATCCAAGTATAATGGAAAGCTCAGTGCAAGAAAGAACATAGGATATAAAAAAGTACAAAATTATAAATGTTACCTTGACTGGATACATAAAGTCCATTGGCTGGTTTCAAGAAGATTCACAAAACCAGGATTGCAACTGGTGTTCAACAACCACCACATAGAGATGTATTGAAGACATGGGTTAAAATTCACAAATGTGAATTTTTGCATTTTTGGTTATTTAATCAATAAAATAGATTAACTTTGGACAATATTCTAAAAATGCAGAGACGTTAATTGACCAACATTTAACGTTAGAATACGGGAAAGAACTACAATTTCCTGGGTTTATTTTTTTATGCCATGGTGATGGCAGCTTCTTAGCAACATGGTGGTACAGTTGTTTAAGCTTCCCTGGACTCTCTCCACCAGATTTGATTGTTGCTTGTAGTCGCTGTGAACCTGCGCTCCGTAATAATGAACGCAGCACTGGCAGTGGTGACAGCCTTATGTCTGGGCAAAATACAAAACTGCACCATGAAAAACACACATAACACACATAACATGGCAATCCGTGTGGTGATCACTATGCAATAAACTCTGAGCCTGCTTACCATAAAACGGTAACATTTCAGACACATTTAGACTGCTGTGAATCGAAAATATGGACAATTTTTTGCACTCATCTGCATTCAGCTTTGAGTGTGCCTTTTAAAATAAAACCTCCCAGAGGACAGTGTGTTTTGTACTCTGTACACAAGTGGCACAGAAAAGCTCTCACAGACTGTGTCAACTGATGTTATGCAAACACCAGCGTTCAACAAGAACCAATGCATTTGCATCACTGGGATCTGAAACGTGCCCCGCTTTCACACAGGCCCCACTTCTGTCGCTTCCTCTTTGATGTGGCTCATACATATTAAGAAACCGAACCCTGCAGAAGGAACATCAGCCTCGCGTTCACCAGAGCACAAACTCAATTTGTGCAACCTCTCGAAAAAAAAATAAAAATGAAAATGCTGCATTAGTTTGTCCCACTTTATTTCCAGAGTTAATTAGCAAGTGAGAGATTGGACAATTAGTTCATCCATGCTAATTGATTATAATATTACATCTTGGTGATGATGGGATCATCTCGGAGCATTCCTCCAATATTCTTCTAAGGGATTTGATAATTTATACAATGTTTTTTGTGTAATGAGGGGCTTTAAAGAGCAAATCAGCAAGGGAAATTGTTAATTCAATTCCACTCAGATAAGTCAGAGGAGTTGTTTTTTTTTTATATATTTTTTTTTTTAGGGGGAGTTGATGAGGTGAGTGGGGGAAGGGGGGGGAACATGAACTGAATGGCAGGGATCTCAGAGAACGTCCTTTTAGATTATTATTCATGTCACCGCAAGTAATGGGAATCTCAAGTTAATTTCTGTCACTTGCACAATAGGATCTGAACCGATTGTATCGAGGTTGTTTCGTTCTGGTGCTCATTAGTGAAAAGCAATTCAGGTCATATCTGCAACAGAAAGAGAGCCATCATACTGAGATAAACTGAATATTGCCTCATGCATCTAAATCAACGTATCTTTGCTGTGCAGCTTGTAAAACTATATTTTCTCAGCCATTGCGATGATCAGTGTTCAGTATTCAATACTTTGTTGTCATTGTAACAATGATTTACCTACACGCATAAGTGAGGTATTATTTAAGCATCTTGCTTACAACTGAACTGGTACACAGATTATTTTTTGAAGTGCAAGTTAATGAGAGTGAATTTAATAAAATGACAACAAGTCAAAACTTTTGAGGAGTTCATTAAAACACAACTGTGATCCCAAATGACTGCTTCCTGGTGGGCTTAGGGTGTACGGTATCTCTAAGACGTTTTGTTGTCTGCCTTGCAGAGTGCTACTTGTGTGCCACATTTTGTAACTCTTAATAAAATTGGTCCAAGAACCTGCAGAACCATTTCCTGACTTCTGTATAAAAAAAAGAAGAAAAGGTTACTGCTTCTCAGCAGGCAATTAAAAACTAAAGAAAAATAATAATCAACATTCAAGTCCAAGAGTTCTTCCCGCACACCCCTCAGTTCTTGGGCGAATTATATCCTGTCCCTACTTCCTCGGTTGTCAGATATCTGCAGTGTGAAACTCAGGCGAGGACTTCTATCCCCTTCACAGCTCTAACTCCATCACAGTGTGACAATCTGTCGAAAGCCACGGGCCGCAAGGCAAAAATAGGGGGAAAAAATGAATCTGGAGGAATGTGCTCGTCTATTTCACCTGAAAAGTCAAACTGTGAGAGCTCAAACTTCCTCCTGGAAGACTCAAAGAAGACACACCAGATTATGAGTTTTACTTGAGGAAAAACACTAACTTTTTTAATGTATAGATCATATGTGATTCATATAAATTCATAAATACTGCCCTTGCTCTCTTTCATATTTAATACTCGTTATTTCTTAGAAGTCAACTGTGAGTTCTTCCTCATATTTTTTAAATCTTGACCATAAAAAAAATCCTTTTTACAAAATATGACTCCTCTCAGCTCAACATATGCAGCAAATAAAAAAATAGGGTTCATATGTGTGTAATATTGAAGTATCACACTTTTTTTTTTTTCTGTGCTTAATAATTAATAGCCCATCCCATCTCTCTATGAATATTTACATGTAAAGTGTCCCTGGGAGCCATCTATATGCCAGAGGGAGGGAAAACTGTATGTTTACAGCATTAAACACTCAAAAATTGTCTGCAAACCCGTTTCGCCTCCAACCACGAGGAACACGTACTAAAGCATGGAAAGCATTTTACTTGTTGTTGCAGAATGTAACCCGTTCAGGTTCTATCGAGATGTGGCAAGTCAAATTACACGTCCCCCTTATTTTGTGCTGAAATGAAATCCCTGGACGCACCTTGTCTAGTTTGAACATGAAGGGGGATCAGAAATAATCTTTTCCTTTGTTTTCCCCTCTTCCAAGTGCAATGACATTGTTCATTGAAATCACCCTCCACTTACTGTGTCAAAGTGTCAAAGGTCCTGTTGTCGGTGCGCGCCGAAATCAAGATGAAGAAATTACACACGGTATTAGATTATGCCGTACGCCACAGCAGGAGGGGGAAAAAAAAGGGAGGATTCGGGCTAGTTTGGGAAGCTGATTGTAGATTTAAGTAGGAGGAAAATCAAAGACAAACATTGCACGTTATGAATGAGTGTGTGGTTGTGCAGCTCATTTCTGCTGCCAAACCTTAATGCGCTACTCACTTCTAATCCCGGTGGTTGACTTCTCTTTAGTTTTCTCTTTGAATCTGATCCAGAAACACGGAAGAAATGCTGTAACGGAAGAATGAGAACGTGCCCTGACCCCCCTGCTGGAGTGTGATCATATCCACATATATCAGCCTTTGACCTTTGAGGGACACACATGAGGAATGTTGAGGAATAGAACAAAATCCCTCTTCACTTTAAAAGCTAATAATGGATAAGTGGGATACGTAACACAAACAAATAACGCTGTTCCTGGTGAACCTGGGCATGTTGGGTTCTGTTGCTCTCATTGGTGATATTTATCTAGGAGGGAGAAGGCTGAGTGTTTTTGTTGCCGTCTCCCTGCAGGTCCCCAGAGCTCTCAGATCTCCTCTCGTGTCTCCTGTGTGGATAAGTGCTGGCTGCAGAGGCAACGCTGCTCTTTGATATTTCACTCCTAATTTGAATCAGTGGCCGCTTTATTTGACAATGCCAGGTAATTACCTGGGAAGCCTCGCTCGGACGTGTGAACTCCTGCAGAACCAGAAAGCAGGGAGTGAATGAAGGAGCTTGTGTGTGGGAGGGAGGGAGGAAGGAAGAGCTATCTGGATATCAGATGGAACATGGATAACATAAGCAGGACAAAAAAAAAAACAGGGGTACAAAAACAAACAAAACTTATATGCATTTGTTTACATGCGTTGAATTCTGCAGGTATGGTGAGTAAGAGGTTTTGCTTAGCAAGTCGAGTGTGTTAGCAGAGAATTCCTCAGTGGTTTTTCTGTGTCATGCTGTGAAGCAGAGCAAACATGAGGTCACACAGGGAAAGTTACACAGATGAATGTGGAAGGGAGGACATGGTGCACATAATCCAAATTAATAGGTTTTGTCTCTTAGGCTGGGTCATTTGATTACATGTGCATGTGTGTGTGCGTGCGCACACGTGCGTGTGTGGGTGTGTGTGTGTTTGTGTTTGTTTGTGGTTGGGTGGGAGAGTCCCCGGGTGTGTGTGTGTGTGTGTGTGTGAGAGAGAGAGGGGAGTCGTTCGCATGTTACTAATGAGCCAGTGTGTAGAAATAAACAGAGGAACAACTCAAAAGTCAACTTTCTGTGACTTTAATGTGGACACAACATAAAGGACACCTCCAAAGCTAAAATAATTTTGAAATTTTACTCTAAATAAACTAATTCAATAAATCTGAAAATGACATATCTGAGCATTCAGAAATATTAGCTGGTCAGTATTTGTAAATGGCCGGATGTGGAGCCTTATCAATGATGTTTATTGAGCAGGAGAGCAGTGTTTGCTCCTCTGTGTGACCTGAATATCAAAACGCGTCGCTCCACGTGAATGCAGCTGCGTTCAGGCTGACTTCCCGGCGATCTCCTTGGAGGAAACCAGCCGACAATGCAAGCGTGGAAGGACCTGCAGTTTCACATAAATACAAAAACAAAAAACAAGAAAAAAAAGAGAGAGAGAAATAATAATAATTAAAAAAATCGCTCAATAAAAATGGCAATTTCAAACGTTTTAAAAATACTACTACTGCTACAAATCAGACCATATACATATAGTTATAAAGATATTAAAAGTTAATTGTCTCTTCCCCCCACTTTTAGCAAATTTCACACGCAGCATTAATTTTTATTTCTTTATGCACGTTTTTTGTTTTTGTTTTATTTTTATTTTTGCTCTGAAGGTGGAGTTTTAACCCCGTTTGCATTTCTAAAACAGCTCATTTCAATCACTTGGCTATGAGAGCACGAAGACTTTTAAAGATCTCTAAACTTGGTGGCCAGACAACAGAGCGTTTCCAAAATTCCTCTCAAAGAGGAGGCAGAGGTATAGAGAGGGAATTTAATGAGGGGCTTAAAGCGCGCAGCGCCTAAAGACATATTTCCTCTGATCAGCGGAGGAGGGCGACTTTATTGGACATGTTTCTGTTTCCAAATCCGCATAACAGCCAACGATGCGTGCATTTCTTATAATGTAGATAAGAGAGAGAGAGGGAGAGAGAGAGACAGAGAGAGAGAGAGAGAGTTTGATATGTAATAAAAGGTGGGCCTGCGCTGCGTGTTTAAGCCCCTTAAGCCTGATAAATGATGAGCGACAGTGGCACAGCAAGAGGGTCAGCGCTATTAACTCCTCGGTTTCCCGGCCTCCACTTAAACTTCTCTCAATTACAGCTGGTGATATGGCTGCAAACGGGCCACCTGTAAATACACATCTATATAGGAATTAATGTCTTCAGTCTTAACTCTAATAACACTCGAAATAATAAAACGAAGAAGAAGAAATCGGAGTCGAGTCTGCAGGCTGTCTCCCCCCTCAAAGCCGTGTGTCAAAAGGAAACACAAGGATTATGGCTGGTGGCGTTCCTAACACATGCTCACCAGGTATTCTGGGACAAACAGCCAATGCAAGCTCATTAAATCAGCATTTGGTGTATCGGAGCAGGCGTTAACGACGGGCTCTAATCTCGGCGGTGACCTGCGTGAACTGTGTCACAGCCGAGCTCCAAGGCTCTGCGAGGCTGGCTGCAGAGCGGAGCAAAAACACCGAGACCTGCAGCAAAAACACGAGAGCCCTTTCCAATAAGAAGAATGTGAAAATTCATAGCTCATATTTAATACTGGATTGCATTATTATTATTATTATTATTATTATTATTATTATTATTATTATTATTATTATTATTATTATTATAATATTAATATTATAATATTATATAATATAATAATAATAATAATAATAATAATAATAATAATAATAATAATATAATAATAATACCAAATCCTTGTCTGAGGCTTTGAGGCATAGTAAAGCACTGAAATTGATTCAATTTTGCATTGTTATTCAGTTTCAGGTACGTTTTTAAAATGATTTTTACTGAGGACTCAGCCATAAGTGGAACCTAAAACAAAGCCTGAAATGAACATAAATCACCAAAACTGAGTATATATATTTCAATGTTTATATTTAACAACTCGTAAAAGAGGGAAAAATGACAAACCCTGGCAGAAATTTAAAAAAAAAAATAATAATAAAATGAGAAACTAACAACTAACATTTTTGAGGGAGTTTTTAGTAGATCTGATTTTTTTTTTGATCTTATAGTTGAATTTTAATTATTAGCCATTGTTATTCGCGATAAATGAGTCGGTGCCTGGTGATGTTATTTAGACAATTAAGCACGAATCTTTGAGCAAAACAACCAGTCGTGTAAAATCTGTAATTAGAGTTTTTCCCATTTTTTTCTTTTCTTTTTTCATTTAGGCCTCCTCGTATTTTTTTTTCCCACCACGGAATCCTGCACCCGCGTCTTTCGCATTAGCTGCGGCCGCCAGGTGTCGCTAGAACGCCGTACATTTCGCTGTTCTCGCCTCTCTTCGGAGAGAGAATGAAAGAGAGAAAGAGAGAGAGAGGCAGAGAGAGGTGGGGGAGAGGGGAGAAGGAAAAGCCACAGTTACATTTCGTGTTGGCCTCCCCTCTCTTTCTCCTCCTCCTCCTCCTCTTCCTCCTCCTTTTGCAGACCCTCTGACACCAGAGTCTGAGAATCGGTGGAGGGGAAAATGAGGCTTTGGAGCTGAAGAATTTACAGTTAGTCGCGAAACTTTTACAAGTATTTGAGCTGCTCGGTGCCTTTTTTTTGTTTTTTTTTTGTTTGAGAGCTTATAGTCACATTTCAGTCCGGGGGTCAGAAGGAGTTCACATGCAGATGATTGAGGTAATGCTTCATAAGAAAGAAGAAAACAAAATAAAAACTAATATTTGGTGTTAAACAAATATAGGAGATTTTGTAATTAAGAAAGCTCTTACATGTGTTTTAATTACTAGTTTGGTTAAATCGTTGCGTTCACATTAGTTTTACTTTGCGCGAAAATACGCATTTGAGCAAATTTACGCATCAACCTCTGAATTTATCTATTAATTTTTTTGTATTTATTTATTTATTTAAGTCGCAGGATCAATAAAATGGATCAAACCGTTTGAGGGCTTTACTGTCCGCGTCTTTCCTGCAGTCCTCCTGCGATCCCGCCTGATCTCAGCCTCCCTGTACATTAGCCTCGCTCATTTGCATAATCTCAAACACCGCAGAGGGCCAAAGGAAGAACAAAGTTACAAACAAGATTAGGGCGAATTTATTTGTTCCTCCGAGCTGAGCGCCGATTGTTTCTCCAGGAGTGTTTAAGGTCACTAAGAGGATTTGGAGCTCGTTTGATATCAGTGATCTTTTTCGGAGGGGTATTAAAATCAACAATGCGTTTTTTTCTCCATAGTTGTGCGTGTGTGTGTGTGTGTGTGTGTGTGTGTGTGTGTGTGTGTGTGTGTGTGTGTACGGGAGGGGGAATCCTGCAGAAGAGTAATCAGAAATGAGTAGAAGTTCAGCGCTGTGGAGCGTCGGTCCCGCTGTACCTTTAGGATGTGACATGCAGGGGGATCTTTAGCCCCGGCGACTGTCCCAGCAGTGTTTTCCTTGAAATGGATCCTTCCCCACCCCACCGCCCTCCCCTTTAATGAATCCAAACGCAGCTGGCCATGTCCCCACATGGACACCGAGCGCTTTAACCCTAAACTGACCTCAATTTGACACCACCAGATGAAATTTTACCGCCTGGTAATGCCATCTTCTGATTTGTTTCTTGCGCGCAAGAGTTGATATGAATTTTTGTTGTTGTTGTTTTTATTTTCTCACAAATTATTATTGTTTTAAAAGGGAGATGTAGAATTGTTCCGATTGCAAATTGAGAGTTTAATTGGACGGAATTACGTATTGTATCCAGAGATGATTTGTGTAAAATTAAGAGATTAAAGAGCAACGTGTGCTCTGTTTTACAAACACTGAAAAAAAAAGACGGGGTTAAGCATATTTAATCTATTTACAATCCAATTACGTTTAATTCTACAACAATTGTAAGATGTAGCTCATTTTTTAGAACTACTAAACTTATCAAAAACTTTGAAGTTTAACAGTGTGCCTTTGGAGCAGTTCATACTAACGCGCGATCTTTCTGTGTTTCTTCGGGGCAAATCACACTTTTCCACATGAAATCGCACGTGAGACGTAAAAGCCTGCAAACTTAAAACATCAGCCGAGATTTCTCTTTTTACAAATCCACCAAAGAGGTCACTACTTCTCGGTTGGATTGTAAAACAATCCAGTTCTGGGTAAGAAGTAGAAGGAGAAAAAGAAAAAAAAGAAAAAGAAAAAAACTTTCCAATTTTGCTGTGCCAAGGACGAGAAGAGAACGCGTGGTCGTGATAAAAGTGTGTGAGTGTGAAGCGTTTGCTACTTACCATGGGTCATCCAAAGGGACAGTGGTTGACAAAAATAAAATAAAATAAAAAAAAACAAGAGATGCAATCGTTAGCACAGAAATCAACGAGACCCGCAGTATTTGGGTTATGAGAATCGGAGTCTTCAGGCGGCACGGCGCGCCGGACCGGCTGTGTTTACAGAGCGCACACAGAGACCTGGAGACGGTGAGCGCCCTGGCTCTCTCTGCGCGCAACTCTTCAGCTCCTTCCCGGGGTATTGCGCGTCGAAATGTCCACACATACAGCCGTTTGTCAAAGCCTGCAGTCCTGCACACCCCACCTTCCTCCCTTACCCCTCCTCACTTTATGCCAACAAACATAACTGTTGTCACGGTTTCATTTATTAAATGATTTTCCTTTGTTGCTCAACTCCGCTGTCTGTATCATCGGCCCTCCATATGCAGCACTGGCTGGGTATTTTTGTTTGCTGGGAGAGTTGTTGACCCTCCAACAGTAGCCACAGCCCATCTCCCTGAGCGCTTAATCCTAACCTGTGAATAATTAATTTTCACCATCAAAAAATGTCACCGAGCTCCAAATGGAGCCTTTTATGCGTTGGACCTATCTATACAGCCACGAAGGCATAGTAGCACTGATGGAGCTAAATATTAAAAGGGATAGATGGCCTGCTTCTGTTTTGTGGCTAAAAGTAAAAAAAAAAAAAAAAAAAAAAAAAAAAAAAAGAAAGAAAGAAAAAAAGAGAAAAAAAGAAGAAAAAAGAAGGGGGGTCTTCATTGGAATCGATGGCTGGAGCGTTGCTCCTCCTCTAAACTTCAATCTTCTCACATGATTGATGATCTTGGGGGAGCTTTGATAATTGACTATTCTGAGGTAAGCTCCTATCATGAGTGGGGATTGGGCGGAAGGAACATGCAAAATTAGTCCCCCCGCACCCACCAGAGCTTTTCACCCCCTTTTTTTTTCTTTTTACATCTTGGATAAGTTCATTGTGGACCGATAGGGGTGTTTAATTTCCCCCAAAATAGTGAAAGACCTGGTCGCCTTCAGAATGTTTTTAAAGGACCAAATGTGGTGGTGGAGTAGGGTTTGGGGGTTATGGGAGTTGATTCATAACCTTGGGTGACACTTCAAAACCGGAAATGTCCTGCAAGGAGAGTTTGCCATAAATAATAATTCAGAAAGTCTCAAGTCCTGCTAGCAGCAACACTCTTCAGCGCAGAAGATGTTGCTGAGGAAAGATGACCCAATGATAGCTGTGATCCGGTGGAGAAATGTAGAGATGGTGTCTAACTTTTACTTCAAGATGAATAAAATAACTAAGAAATGTAAAAGACAATAAATTAAAAAAATAAATACATATTGTGTACTGTTCAAACTTTGTCCCGTCTTCCCTTCAGTCCATAGTCATATGAACTGATAAAAGACAAACACAACAAAAAAAAATATCTATGTGATATCTATGTGATATTTATGCACAGCAACAATTAGCAACCAAATTAAAATATATTATAGAAATACTCATGATGACAAAAACCACGTAACAAGTATTTTATGATATGTTATCAACAGGGGGACCATTAAGAAAAAAAACTGAAGCAGTGACAAAATGGAGGCACTGAAAATCCAGGATTGGCTCCTCAAAACCTGAAATCCATTGTAGATTTTTAACTGGATTGTTGTTGGATATCTAGAGTTGCGTCAGTATAGAGAAAAAACACAACATAATTCATATCCATACAAGAAACATGATGGTAATTACAATGAGACTGATCTATAGGGCTGGTCATTGCCCCCATTGCCCCCCCCCCCCTTGGTGGCGCCACTGCATAGCAATAATTAGGAGGAGATTAGAAGGAATTACGGAGATATTAAGTCCGTACATCAGTTTGTAAACCCGAAAACATGAAACAAATGAGCGCCACGCACTGAACACGGTATTAACACAATAAATAGTTAATTCTCCCCGCAGATTATCAACAATTGTTTGTTTTCTACCACTGATAAGGTTTCATTCCCAGCGCGTGTATTTGGATACACTGTGCGTAATTTCGCCTTTTCAATTACGATTTCGCGTCGCCTTATTCCAAATGAATATTCATGCCGATAAGTTGCAGGCAGTGTTGTGTGTTTTTTTTTGTGGAACTCGGAGGAGCATATATCCGCCCTCACACTGAGTCCTCTCCTGCTTTCTCTTCAGGTCGCTCCTCGGTGAGACACAGGGATTGGGGTGGGAGTTTCGAGCTTTTTTCTACCCCCAGTGTGGAGTTGAAGCCGTCCCCGCGCCTCGCATAGACACTCTGCATATCACAGGATTTGGTCTCTCCTCTCCTCTCTCTTGTGCGGAGCTGCTGCAGGACTGGCTATGGCCACCGCTACTTCCGGGATCCGTCATTTCATTCGCCCACCGCTCAGCGCTGCGAACTGACTCTGTTTCTATAAGCAAGCCAGCAGCCAACCTGCCAACACTCGCTGACACTCACTCATCTCAGTCTCGCCAAGATAGACGAAATACCTACGGGGGAAAAGAAAAGGAGAGATCCGAATCGCACTCTCTTAATTTCTACACCTTTTTTTCCCCTCTTCTTCTTCTTCTTCTTTTTTTTTTTTTTTTTTTTTTTTTTTTTTTGTGCGGTGATAATAAAACAAGATAGCGATCTGGAGGCATTAAAGGAGACGCGGACTTGCGGGATGAAAACGGACTAAAAAAGATTCGTCCTGCTCTTGAACATCATCACCAACCGTCATTCATTCATTACCTTGACAACCTCTGGCTTTGATTGACAGCTGGAGTGGCAAAAAGCCATGAGACACGACAGTTTAGTTACATGCAGGTTGTTGATGGGCCGATTGTAACCTTCACTTTGGCGCATTTTTTTCCTTTTCTTTTTCTTTTTTTTGAGGAAAGAAGGAAAACAAGACAAAAAAAAATTGCTGCAAAAAAACTTCCCGATGCGACGGTTTGAACTGAACCACACTGGCGAATAGGAGAATTCGCACAAAAAAGTTGGTTGAAAGAGGGGAATCTTGCCACTAAATCACTTTCCGATCTGGGATATTAAACATATACGGACAGATTCGGGAGTTTATTGGAGCGCAGCCTGATGGCGCAAAGGGTAGGTTTTAAATCTCACTCCGCTTTACCTGCTCAGATCGCAACCCCCTTTTCTTAGTCGAGGGCGCTGGCAATTTCACAAAGTTTTTCTTATCAAAGCGGCTCTATTTGACATTTTCTGCTGCGCTTTCACTCTCCACGCGAAGTGACAGCCTCCACTTTTCCCGACGAGGCTCCACGAAGCAGTTTCACGGGAGACTCCGAGCTGTTTCGCTGTTTCTTTTTTGTTTTGTTTTGGGGGTTTTTTTGCGCAGAGGGAGCAACCTAACTTTATAATGTTTCTGGTAATGATAAAATTGAGTTGCGGCTCCTTAATATTCGACAGCTTTGCGCTGGCTGCAGCGTGCTTTCAGTCTCTTCACTGCGATTGTTTAAAACCAGAATTAGACAAACATGGTTCATTTAAAGAAATTCTTTTCGTATATGTTGTCTTTCTTCCTTTCTTTGCTTCTTTCTTTCTTTTTAAAATACATTATAGAATACAAGTATGCGCTCGCTTTTAATTTCTTTTTTTTTTTTACTTCAATTTCATTCCCAGTACGATGAGCTGGCCCATTATGGTGGGATGGACGGAGTCCCGGCGTCCATGTACGGGGACCCGCATGCGCCCCGGCCGCTTCCCCAGGTCCACCACCTGAACCACGGACCGCCGCTCCACGCCAGCCAGCACTACGGAGCCCACGCTCCCCACCCTAACGTTATGCCCACCAGCATGGGCTCCGCTGTCAACGACGTTTTAAAGAGGGACAAAGATCAAATTTACGGGTAAGCTTTGCATGATTCAGACATGCAACTAAATACTTCTCTCTCTTTCTCCCTTTGAAAAAGTTAACAGCTCTGGGTGGGTTTTAGAGTTTATTTCCCATCGCTTGGTTTTAGTGAAGCTTTGTGCAGGTTGGAGCTTAATTTGGAGCTGCGTTGTCGGTTTTAAGGGCGTTTTGTTGGTGTGTAATTTTACACTCATTGTAAAAGCCTGAAGCAAGCAAGAGTATCAGCCCTGAGCTTGTAAATTAATATGGAAGCTCTCAGATGTGGCACAAGGAATACATAAAAACTATTTTAAGCTGATTACGTTGTTGCTTTATTATTACTGCCAACAATCGTATATCAAATGCAAAATGATAATCTGCATTTTTAACGCTTTCGTTTAGCTGGCATTTAAAATAAAATAAAATGAAACAGTTTTGCTGTCACACACACACACTCACTCACTCACTCACACACTCAGGCTGCGTTAAAACGCGCCGTGTGTCCTCTCCGGAGGCTACTTTTCTAAGATTATTTTCAAACAATTAAAGAGAAAAATATGATTACAGCCACTGATCACTGATACTTACACAGCCAGTGTTATAATCCACGGACCTAATCTCTTTTATTCTCACGGTTATTCAATGCGCAGGAACAGTTTACACCCACTTTTACTTTGCTGCAAATGAAAAACTTGGGCACTAAGTCAGTTTTTTTATACCTCCATATCAATTGTTAAAACAGTAATATTCTTTTTTTCTGAAATTATAATTTAGATTTACAAACATGCTTATTTTTATGGACTCTGTTATTATTTGTGTGAATCATCGCTGCAGGCCTCCTCGGAAAGAAATTACAAGACTCAGTTTATAGCGAGGCTAACTGCAGAATCGTATCAGCAACGTGGACATATATGTATAATATATATATTAATCCCAAAGACATCTATCACTCTGTGAGTTTGGAGTTTTGTGGCTTCACGCTGCAAGAAATGTTACTGTCAATCAGTCGATTATTACATTGAATTCAGAAGAAGAAGAAGAAGAAAATCAAATTCGGTACAGTTCCTTTCATTTCTAAACGCAGAAAATGATATTAAAGCAGACGCCACGGGTAAGCTGACTTGTCCTGAACACACAGCCGCTTGGTTAATGAGGAGTACATTTAACAATGTTAGAAATTAAATGATTAAAATAATAATAATAATAATAATAATAATAATAATAATAATAATAATAATAATAATAATAATAATGAAAAAAAGAAAAAAAACAAGAGAGGTTTTCGCGTATGTTGGGTGAGCTGTTTTTTTTCTTTCTTTCTACTTTAGCTGCGTTTTGAAATGTGAGGATTGTAGAATCACGCAGGTTCATTTTTGGGACATTTTTTGCAGCGGGGCTCCGTGCAGCCGCTGCAGTGCTGCTCGTATACACTCAGGCTGCTTGTATTTTCTCCCCCCTCCTCTCTGCAGTCACCCTTTATTCCCACTGCTCGCACTGGTTTTCGAGAAGTGCGAGTTGGCGACGTGTACTCCGAGGGAGCCCGGCGTTGCGGGAGGCGACGTCTGCTCCTCAGACTCCTTCAACGAGGACATCGCAGTCTTTGCCAAACAGGTCCATTCTTCATCTTGAAAAAAAAAAAAATACAATAAACTAAAAATAAAACACAACATTGGCCGGGTTCTGACGCACCATGTTTCAGGTGTACCCATGCTTATTATTTGCGGCTCACAAGTTTGATTTCTGACAAAGGTCAGAATCAGAAATTAATATATATATATATATATATATATATATATATATATATATATATATATATCTATATTTTGATCTTTGCTTTTTTTT